TGGTCAACCCGGTGGAGGGAAGGGATGTGCCATCCAGAGGGAGCTGGACAGGCTGGAGAAGTGGGCCCATGAAAACCTTCTGAAGTTCCTGCACATGGTTTGGGGCAACGTGACAGATACAGGCTGGGTGAGGAGTAGATTGGGAGCATCCCTGCAGAGAAGGACTTGGGCTGCATCAAGAGAAGTGTGACCAGCAGGGAGAGGGAGGGGATTCTGCCTCTCTACTCCAATTTCATGAGCTCTGGGGACTTCAACGTAAGAAGGACATGGATCTGTTGGAGTGAGTCCAAAGTAGTGCAACGAAGATGATCAGGGGCTGGAGCACCTCCCCTGTGAGGACAGCCTGAGATAGTTGAGCTTGGAGAAGGGTCCAGGGAGACCTTATAGCGGCCTTCCAGTACTTAAAGGGGCTACAGGAAAGATGGGGAGGGACACTTTATCAGGGAGTGTAGGGATAGGATGAGGGATAAGGGTTTTTTAACTGAAAAAGGGTAGAGTTAGATTAGATGTAAGGAAGAAATTCTTTCCTGTGGGGGTGGTGAGACACTGGCACAGGTTTCCCAGAGAAGCTGTGGCTGCCCCATCCCTGGCAGTGTTCAAGGCCAGGCTGGACGGGGCTTTGAGCAACCTGGTCTAGGGGAAGGTGTCCCTGCCCATGGCAGGGGGGTTGGGACTAGATGATATCTAACGTTGCTTCCAACCAACCCAAAGCATTCTATGATTCAGACAATCTCTGTAGAAAAAGTTCACAGAGAAATAACCATGTAAGACATGGTCTGGGACTGCTAGTGAGAAGGGTTGTCTTCACTTCAAGAGTAGAATTAAGTTTGTAATTCCTAAAGCTTGACAGCAATTATTATTCCTGGTAAATGGTGACTGAACATCTGCTTATATGGCTGCAGCATTTCAACAGATGTCTGCTTAAACATGAAGTAAGTCCATTTTATTTTCCAGAAGTGTTTTTAAGGTTTCATTTAATTCTAGCTCTAAATCACTCAGAACTACTAAGATGGGTACATTCATCAGTGTTCATGCTGCTGCCCCTGTGTGTACCTAGAACACACCCCACCTACCCACAGCCTGCAGACCCCAGTCCTAATGTTCTGCACTGGCCTAACTATTGCTTTATAAAACATCAGCATTCAAGCCTGCAGACAGTCTCCACAATGCTTAGCCCTCAGCACTGACAAGTTTCTGGTGATCTGTAAAGATGTTTTAAGCATTAGTCCAGAAAGCCTGACTCCAACTGTCTGTCTTCCCAATCCACCACTGAACTGTCTGTGAGAGACAATACACAAGGTAAGTTTTTATTCTGGTGCTCTGGATTGCTCTATAGTGGCTCTCAATCTCTCCCCCAACTCACTCGCTCCTTTTTGCTCTGTCAGGGTACTCTTAAGTTCAAGCCAGGAGTTGTGCTTGGGTTAGATACCTGAAATGAGAGGCGAAAGCTACAGGGTGTTTGCACAGTACTGAGCTCAACACAGGCTTTTACCACCGCTCTGCAGTCAGAGCTACATATTCTTAGACTTTGGGGCCAGCCGGCAGCATGTTGCTATCAGATTTCCTACAGAAAGTCTGAGGTGAGGCTGTAGGCAACGCAAGGTTAACCCAGCAGCAGGTAGAGCTCACACCGCCCTTGTCACCACAGCTCACTCTCCCACGCTTTGCTTTGCCTCTCAACCCACTTCCTTTGTCCCATCTCTCTCCGCCCTGGGTTTGCTCTGCCTCATTCCTTTCCACACACGGTTTGATACACAGACATCCTCTGAAGGGGGTAATGCTGTGTCACACTGGCTGCCATGGGTGCTAGTCTCTTGCAGTTGACTTGCCAGTTATTTGTGAAGCCTGGGCTTGAAAGCTGTTGCTTGCTCACTGAAGCATGTCAGAGTAGTACACCACTTTTGCATGTTCTTAATTCCCATAGATTCAAAAAACAGCAAAATCTTCCAAAATAAAAGGCATGATGCTTTTACAGGAGTACTAGTGCTTATGGAAGGAGGCAGCCTCTGAGGGACAGAAGGAACACAGAACACACAAGAAAAATTCCCATCAGCACCCAGCATTTGTGAACTTGTTTTAGAACAGATGACCTTTTCTAAGATTTGGAAATTATTTTGTCTGACAGTGAATTGCTTAACTGTGAGTGTTCACTTGGATTTCAAAGGCTTAGCAGGTTTCCACAGAGCATGCCTAGGCCCTGCCTCAGTTACACATTTGATGTTGACTGAGCAACACAAAACACACAGCTTTAACCAGACAAGCTGTTTCTGTGGAATGAACCTAAAAGCTTTTCTTCTGTTTGTGCATAACCCACATTCATAAACCACTCCAATACCTGGCCTCTATTTATGAGTTGAATCTTTCTTTGCAGCTCAGGTTACGTTCCTTGAGAAGGGAAGAAAAATTGTGTCTTCTGTCCAAGGAAGGCCCTGGCCAGCTTTGTCTTCTTGATAAAGCTCTCAAAAAATCCTGAAGGCAATGGTGTGTACTGAACTAACACATAACACGATGATGTAAAGATAGGGCATTCATGAAGAGAAGAGTTAAGATCTTTATCACCGTATACAGAGCAGAGACCAGGATGAACAAGCAACACCCTGTGGCAGGCACACCATGGCATGGCGCAGGCGGAGGTGGAGGGAGAAGGGCAGAGCAAGGTTAATTCTCAACCCTGACAACTGACAGTAAGTCAAGTGCTATTTCAGAACACTTAAAAGTCACTGAGCATACAAGGTAGTTTCATTAGCAACTGCTGACAATGAAAAATAAGAATTTAGACTGCTCTTTGTGCAAATAAAAATATGACAATGAGTAATAGAAAGTTAGTATTTAATATAGGAAAACTCCCATCCTCTGAACTATATACTGTGGGGCTTACAGTGGCTACTTATCAAGCAAGTCTGGAGGAAGAGCATGGCTGGTTAACCATACTGAGAGTGATTCACTTCCATATGCAAACTGGCTCTGGAAAAAAGTAAAAAAAACGTACACAGAAGATCAATCATAGAATGGTTTGGATTGGGACATTTAAAGGTTATCTAGCGCAATCCCCCTGCAATGAGCAGGGACATCTTCAACTAGATCAGGTTGCTCAGAGCCCCGTCCAACCTGGCCTTGAATGTTTCTGGGATGGGGCATCTACCACCTCTCTGGGTAACCTCTGCATTTCAGCACCCTAATCCTAAAAAATTTCTTACTTATAATTAGTATATAAGTAAGTATATATATCTGAATCTATCTGTAAGTATATATATCTGAATCTATCCTCTTTTAGTTTAAAACCATTGCCCCTCGTCCTATCGCAACTGGCCCTACTAAAAAGTCTGTCCCCATCTTTCCTGTAGCTCCTTTAAGTACTGGAAGGCCGCTATAAGGTCTCCCCAGAGCCTTCTCTTCTCCAGGCTGAACAACCCCAACTCTCTCAGCCTGTCCTCACAGGGGAGGTGCTCCAGCCCCCTGAACATCTTTGTGGCCTCCTCTGGACCCACTCCAACAGGTCGATGTCCTTCCTATGCTGAGGACTCCAGAGCTAGACATAGCACTGCAGGTGGAGTCTCACAAGAGCAGAGTAGAGGGGGAGAATCCCCTCCCTCTACTTGCCAGCTACACTTTTTGATGCAGCCCAGAACACAGCTGGCTTCTGGGCTGTAAGCACACACTGCTGGCTCATGTCCAGCTTTTCATCCACCAGTACACCCAAGCCCTTCTCCACAGGGCTGCTCTCAATCCCTTCATCCCCATTCTGCTATTCCTATCTCTTCTTCTGGCAGTAGAGAAAATGCCATCTACTGGATTATAATAGCTGGCTCAGTGTGGTCCACTGAACATTGTTACTAGTCTTTTGTAAAATCTGCATGCACCATTCCTTCACTACATTATTCTAAACTCACATATATTAAAAATGCCTTACAAAAAGATCCAGAAAAGACACTTAGTAGTCCAGATCAGAGAGGGTGACAGTCCCAGAAGGGGTGTGACAGAAGTCTTTACTAATAGTGCCAAGACATTCCTACTGCAGTGATGGAACAGTCTGGTCTTGAGCATGCAAAATGTTTCCGGCAACTCACTTAAAACAGAGTTGCAGATTAACTAGAGGAAACAATAATCAACTACAGGAATCACTTAGTTTTCTGATGTGCTAAAAAGTAATTGCTCCAGAGTATGGCTTTTCAATTTACAATAATGCAGAAGATACTTCTGTGCCTCTCAAGAAAAATGCCACTTCATCAGAATAAAAAGAGAACCTAAAAACATACCCTGTCACGGTAGCTATATAGAGACAATATTTAAATTTTTTAAAAATTCTTGCTCTTCTTCCTTCACCTTATTCACCTTATTTTTAACTTTTTTTTTTTTTTTTTTTAGGTGGGGAAGACAAAAGTGATAAATATGCAGGCAACGAAAGAAGAGAGCTAACTCCTTCATTTTCCTTGTCTCCTCACAATTGTAGTGGAAAGTCTCTTGCCTCTATTCTCACCAATGGCTAGGTACATCTATAAGGCGTTATATCCCAGCTTGACTGCTGAGAGAAGGGAGGCAGGGGCATAGGAGCCCTACCTTCTACCCCACCTTATGTCCCACACAAATACCCCATGCCCAGTCAGTGCTATTAGCATAGAGGGTCCTTACAGGCTTCCTCCAGGCCCTGCAGGAAGCCCACATCTTCAGCTAGCCTGGCTGCACTTTGTCTCCCTGCCTTCACAGAAGCTGCTTGCACTTTCACAGTTGGGGTGAATGGTCAGTAGATACCAGCCCAATGTGGTTCCAAGTCTCATTCCCAAACTGTCAATGACACATACAGGTATACAAGCTCCTTCTCAGTTTCTCTTTTTGATCCGCTTTAAACAAGATACAAAAAGATCACTAGAACAAGGTTAGATTGTCTTCTAGAAAAAACTTAATTTCCACCTGGAAAAAAGAAACAGGTCCAATCTCTCCAAAAGATCACTATGAAAAAAACTTCAGAGAAGTATGAATATCTAAAATACACCAGGAAAAAATGTATTGCAGAAATGATTTATTTCATGCCAACTTAACTCTTTGTCTAGATATTTTAACACACATTTCAAAATCACAACAATAATTTAGACCACTACAGAGAAAAATGTGTAACTCAGTGAATTTCAAAACAAGTATTATGCACATATATCATAAGGCAAAAGAAGATAGTCTATCCATAAGCAGCACTCCTACAGCCTAGCCTTGATATACACTGGAGAATGAAGATCTTCTATTACTAAACCTATACTTACAATCAAATTCCCTTATCTTCCAGATATCTCTATAGAAATGTAAGGTATTTCTATAGAAAATAATTAATTTCTACAGTGATAGCTAAGCTATCACTCTGAATGTATTATATTTCACAGGAATATGTCAAATATAACATTATCCTCAATAAATAACTGAAGTTGCATATTACTATTGCCTGCCAATTACAATTAAAACATACACACACACATAAAAGCATGCTGAGGAATACATTCCAGTGCATTTTAACAGAAACAAAGAATAAGCCTGACTGGGCTCACTATATGACTGAAACAGAAGATACTCAATATAATGAACCATAATCAATAACAGCAATTAATGTATTAGAAAGGGATCTAGTTCAAGGTGCTTTTCTGCTAGGAATGCTGGGGTTTTGTTAACATAATGAAATAGTGTAGGAGTGTCTAGGCTTCAGACTAGACCACTTAATTAGAGGCACGGCTAATATTAGAGAACTGCCATGAAGCCGTACATATTCCCGCAGAGCCAATTAGGGAAAAAAAGAATGCAAAAGTTTCAAAAAGTTTACAAGATTCATAAATAAGCTCCTCTGACAAAATTAGTAATTTTCTGAATGTTAAAGAAAAATTAAAAGCTAGGAGACAATATATACTCTAAGTAGAGTTTTTGTTAATAATTAAGATGCAGATATTTGTAATTAATAGGTCAGATTTCTTTAAGAAGCCTTGTAAGAAATCTTCCTTCATAAAGTGATCCCCATTTGGTATTGTAAATGCCTCTCAGATTGCAAGTAATTACAGCAATAATGAAAACTGGAACAAAACACTGTATTTTTCACATAATATTTACAGCATTCCAAGATAAATTTAATAAAATACAAATATTCATTACAGAAAGAGTAATCACTTTTTTAGTACTTCATATGTAAAAATTGTCATGTTTTAAAATAGCAAGAATAAATATCAGAAAGATAGCAGCTTTCTGCCATTCCCATTAATACCATTAATGACTATTTTACAAGTGCTTGGTTGCAAAATAAAAGCAGATTATATACCATGATCTCTCCAGTAGTGTAAGTTACAGTAGTATAAAGTTTGTTTTTTCTTAATGTTATAATATCTAAATAATAAAATACATCATAGTTTGCCCAAGGTGTCACTATTAGCACAGACTAGAAGTTGCATATCCTTTACCGTCCCTCATAAAAAGACTCTCACTATACTGCACTAAGAGCTGCATCTTTCTTAAGCAGAGTGCAGAGGATTAATTTCCCAATATAGATATCAGAACATGTTTATTTTTAAACAGCTGAAGAAACAGAACTAAAAATCTAGTAAGAGGAGTAAGTTTGACTAGAGCTTTTTGCTATGCATACTTCTATAAGAAATCCAGAACTGACACAATATGGAAGTAGTTACTGTTTTCGCTCCCACTTTTCAAAGTTCATTACAACTTGTATGGATTCTTTTCACTGGTTTAAATATTTGACATGAAGATATTCAATCATATGTGCTTATGTGCTCAACTTGGGTAGTTTTTTTGGTGTTTTTGGGATTTTTTGATGTTCACAGTTGAAGAGCAAACTGCAGAAATGACAGTGAAGTATACCTTAACTGCTCAGTAATTCAGAAAGTGAAATAAGAAATACATAACTGACATTCTTTAGCTGCAAATAAATATGACTATATACCAACAGACTAAATATGTCAACATTCACTTCCCAAAAGCAGTTTGCAAGGCAGTTATATTTTAAATCACCTAATCTAGAACATCAAATCTGGTGCAAGAACACCAGTAACCTACAGTACAGTCACTGCTTAAACATATCAAAGCTAGTTTTAAGTTTTTTTAGCAGTGATACTGTTAGGACTAGAGCTATAGTAGCAAAGAACTCATGGTTTGGGTTGGAAGGGACATTTAAAGGTCATCTAGTCCAACCCCCCTGCAATGAACAGGGACATCTTCAGCTAGATCAGGTTGCTCAGAGCCCCATCCTACCTGGCCTTGAACGTTTCCAGGGATGGGACATCTAACACCTCTCTGGAGTGGGGTAAATCCTTAGGCATGTAGCCCCCAAGCAAGTTCTGTGTTATTCACGCTGGCAGTAACCAAACTAGTTTAGAACTAGCTCAAATACACAGCAAATACTATGCAGGCATATCCCTTACTTCTACAATGTTTTTTTATAGTTTTACTTTGTATTTTTTTGCTGAAAGTCTTTCAGATTTGTCTCTCATATGAATCATAGGAACTTAACTTTTCAATACTTTTGGAGGAACTACTTTTCAAAACATACTAGATTAACTGGCTTACAAGTTGCGCGTAATTAAAGCACGAGTAACTGCTAAAGCAATAAACACTATGGATGAAACCTGACACTTATCAACTCCTTATTTTAACACCCAGCATCCAGGGACACTCAGGATCTCCCGGTGCAATCAAAAGGAGAACTCCTGAGAGATTTTCAGAGCTCTAATTCCCATGCTTGCAAAAAGCAGCCATTGGTTACTCCACTTGCATTACCAAAAAAAGGTCAGTGGATTCCCACCTCAATGAACTCCGAATATCTATGTTAGAAGCTAAAATCCCACTGCCATTAATTTATATAGTAAACTCCTCAAATTATTGTATCCTAATGAAAACTGCACAGAGGGCTTACACCAGGGACTAGTTAGCTTTTGTATATAAAATCCTGACCAAGTTTCCACTGAAAATTCTGTTTGCAGCCATTCCAAGAGGGGGAAAACCAGACCCAGCAAGGCTTAATCCAACTCTCTGAAGTCAGAAGGGGCTAGGTAAGGATCCACAAGCATTCAGAAAAATAAAATATTCCTTCTACAATTTTTCCATTAGCACTGAATTAGATCCCTTTGTAGTGACAATTCAAGAGTTAAACAAAGAACTTGAACCTATTTCATCCGAAGATTTTTACAAATAAACTTTTGGGCAATTAAATGAGATACAAATTTTAAAAACAGATATATCAAGTCTAAGAACATTCATGTGGATGGAAGTTCAGGAACATATACAACTCCTTTCATATAAGGCTGAACTCAGGATAACATTCTTAAGTAGATCTAAAATAAATTAACTAGGTGCTAGAATAAAGTTGCTAAAGAATAATCTGAATTTAAAAAGTGTCATTTTCTCAACTTCCAGTCCCTGACACAGCCATAAGACTTCAATCAAGCCTTTACAATATAAGAAATACCCAAACCGAAAAAGTGCCCTCTTACAGTAATCTGGAAATTGCATGAGCTTGAAACACTTGTGGGCATGGCTGTTGTTCAGTGTGTTCACCTAAGAATAAAACTGACGATTATTTTATGTCTGCCAATTTATTAATGTAGTTATTTCTATACAAATAGAGTATTTTTTCTCCTTCATAGTAACAATTCAGTGTTTTAAAACAGGCAGATCTATATATTACAAATGCCACTACTGTTAGAACACATGATGTACTAAATCACAGGAGGTAGTTAGATTCCCATTAACAATTACTTCAGAAAACAAAGACTTATTTTGAAAAATCAGTAGAACACCTCATTCATGAAAACTTATTTTTCAGAAGAACTCATTCCTAGCTGCTTTAAAGGATGTCTGTGTTTTAAGCATGATAAAGAATTCATGACAGAAACATGTCCTGTTTCAGTTTTCAACATAACTTTGCAATAAGCACGTAAGAAAACCTCCAAGTCGTAAAGACTTAAGACAAATTGCAATAAAGCAACATTTTAAATTAATCAAATTTCCAAAGATATCATGAATTTGACCACATCTTTTACCTTATGATTACATTTGAAAATTCATTCAACTAACTATGGTTTAAAAAATATATCTACACAATGAAATCAATGTGAAGCTTTTTTACACTGTTAATAATTGGCATTTTTGAATGGCATTCAAATGAATAAGCATTATTCTTTTTGCAACAACTTATTGCAAAATACAGGCACCTTAAAAATAGATACATAATGCAATCAGGGCATTTGGGACATTAAAGGTGTTTACCATTATCTAGTCATGCTATGTATTTCCCTTCTTTTAAAGAAATACTCTACAATTTGAAGCCGTGCCTGAGGTGTGTGCAAATTAAAATGTTTCAGCATTTAACTCAAGTTTCACATTTCTTTTACAGTTACAAAAACACTAATATGCCAAGATTTTCAACTGTTTTAAGTGTAAAAAATCTTAAGCAGACATTGTATCTTCAATAGTGTATTCTTGCTATTGCACATATGACAGTGAAACTCTGGTCCGTATTGAAATTCAACTATTTACACATGCTAAAATCATTTATCTGCATATAATGTTGGAAAAGAAAAAATACAGCCTTTCTTGACCAATCCACCTTGCTCTAAAATTTATGCCATCAAATTTCACAGAATCATAGAATACCAGGTTGGAAGGGACCTCATGGATCATCTAGTCCAACATTTCTGAGCAAAAGCATGGTCTAGACAAGATGGCCCAGCACCCCATCCAGCTGAATCTGAAAAGCGTCCAGTGTCAGGGGATCCACACTTTCCTGGGTACATTATTCAAGTGGCTGATTGTTCTTATTGTAAAAAATTTTCCTCTTGTGTCCAATCAGAATATCCCCAGCAGTAACATGTACCCATTACTCCTCATCTTTCCCGTGTGACTCCTTGTAAAAATGGAGCCTCCATCACCTTTGTAGCCACCCTTTAAATGCTGGAACATGCATTTTATGATTTTATGAAGAACAGCCTGACATTCAATCTCTCTCCTTATACAGGGTCTGATTCAAAGACCACTGAAGCCAAAAGAAGCTTTAATTTAATTCACTAGATTTTGGACTAGACATGAAGTTCAAATAGAAAAATTATAGAAAGTGTTTACTATAGTAATTGACATAACTGCACTTTGGATGCATTAAGATGCTCTCACAGCATCTGATAAAATACAAAAAAATTCCTTCCAAAAAATCCCCTTTCTTAAACTTACAATGTTAACAGTTCAAGTTGAGCGCTAGGTATATTTATGAAGTTTACCCTCTACTACTTTAATTAATAGTTTTCTCCTTTTGGTCATGACACAAAAGCCCACACTGATGCACAACAATATCTATAATAGAAGCAGCATATTCTTGTCATAAGTAGTAAAGTTACCATACAGGTGCATTTCCAAAACAGCTGTTCCTTCATATTCTTTTTTTTAAACAAAAATGGTCTTTTCTGGTTCAGTGATATAGCATAAATACAGTATTTCCCAAGCAATGAGTAAGAAATAGATGTCCACTGAATTTTCTTTAGCTTTGAGGAGCTTAGACATCTTCAAATATTTCACTTCGAGACATTGACAGGTATCTTCCACCAGGCTGGTACCTGCAGAATCAATGTTAAATATGAAAAAGTATCATAGGAAACAGAAAAATAAGGACCCATGAAACCATGTAACTCTCACTGCACTCTTACTCCTTAACTCTCAATTAATTATAGGATCTGAACTTCTGCTTAATTACTGTTTCCATGAGAATTTGATAGACAGTCATTAAATTAAATCTCATGTGACCAAGAAAAACAGTGATATGAATATTGTGAGTCTTAAAGATTTCCCGATACAAAGGAAAGAAGTTGAATGTTTTGTTGTTTTCTTTAAAAAAACCCACAAAACAACCCAAACAAAAAACAGCATCCAAAAGTAGTTTGGGCAATTAGCAAAACACCTCACTGGGTATTCCTAGGAGAAATACAGTATCAAAAATAATTAAAACAAATGAGTGCATATTTAGTGGGAAAAAAGAAGCTGCACAAATTGCTGGTCAAATATATTTTTAAAGCATTTTAAAAGCACAAGTATATATTTCCTCTCCACAGCACTTACCAAAACCTGAACAGACAAAGTGAGAACCCACTGTCCCTAGCGCTCTTACTGTCCTAGAATGCTTGTAACTATTGCAGGGACTATACTTTTAAAAGTGTTACACAAGCTATTTTTAAGTTAATTGAAATTTCATATGCAATTATGCTTGATTTATTACCTCTATGAAATGTAATGCAGTTTATTAGAGAGAAAAGCTCAACTAAGCTCTGTGGCTCCAGATTTTCTTTTTAAAGAAAAAGTTCAAAATGTTCCACTCTGTAGTCTGTATAGGTGCCAGAAATCTTCAGATATTGTACTTGAAAAATATTTGCTCCAAACCAATTATATATGCATATTCCTAATTTTGTAGACTACTACCCCTTTCCAACTGTACAGAAATCAATAGCTGACAGAACTGCTAGGCTACTTCCTCTTTAAACCAACCTCGGAAATGTGGTGACATCAGACTACAGGAGTTAGGTGTTGATACAAACTAAATCAGTCTGTGAAACCTGGCAGTGCCATTTATGAATGTTCTTTCCATGTTTTTGAACTGGCATTTATTTGTTGACGTTACAGATGTTAAGTCAACTGAAATAATTTATGATCTTTTATTGGTTATGCTACTTTTACCTGAAAAATAATGTAAACTGTAACTTTTTATAAGTGAATCTAAAATTATTTATCATTAAATGGTTCCACATCCTAACTGCCTGGATTAAAAAAGCACCCATAAAATGTATTACTTGTTTCTTAAATATGAGCAGAGCTTAGGAGTTACAGAAGACAGTCTATTTCCTGACTAAGGAAATCTGGTGTTGCAGTCACACTCACAGAATCACAGAATTCTCTATTATAGACACAGCTATACTGTGCAGTCTGGGACTTCTTGTTCACTAAATTCAGATTTTAATTTACTTCAGTAGTTCCAAGATCTGATCCCCAGGTGTATTCCGGTAACTATTGGTTCTGCAATACTCAGTTTTCTTTCTTGCATCCCTTTATAATGGTTTTTATACAGACAAATCAAGTGAACTTTCCAAAGCCTTGTAGAAAATTAAAGAAAAACCTTATATTCTACATATGCAGGACATTCTCCAGTTTTGTGATTTTATATACAGTATTTTTCAGATTATGCCCACAGAAAAAATAATATTCGACTCAAATCTTACTCAGACATTTCTAAAAAACTGAAAAACCTCAAGGTTTCAACTGGGTTTTAAAACAATTCCCATATCATGGAGGAGAAGGAAGAAAGGGAAGGAGTTGGTGAGATGATAAATTTTTAGTTTACAAAACTATTATTATGACACCATCCAATACAGCTGTCATAGGTCTGAAGACAGAAGACATGAGTATCATTTAATTGTAAATAACAGAAAATTCCTCACCTTCCCAAGTCCAATTCAAGAGGGTCATCATTAATTGAATCGGCATTAAAATCCAAAGGTTCTGCATCCTGGAGGAGTTCTATTGTATCTCTTTCAGTCCTACCATTTGATCGGGTATACTTTGATAGTGCTGGAAAGTGAAAACATTCATTTGCTCCGTGAACATCTTGTCGCACGTGGAGACATCAAACTCAGAAGACCATTATAGTAATTTGCTACTAGCTCAACCAAAGTGTAAGTATAATGATTTAGAGTACATTCAGTATTAAGCCAAATCTGGCTAAAATGCTTGAATTTGTAATATTTTATTTTTGTATCTCCATACCAATATAATTATAATTTTTCTTTCGCCCCTCAAGTAGATGGAATCTACTTTGCAATGAATCAAAGAAAACAAGAAGTTATATGCAAATTTTACTTTTAAACCAACCAATCATCCGCTCCTCTTCCCAACTTCCCACTTTAAGCTAGTTGGAGGTTTTTTAGTTTGGTATTGTTTGTTTTTGAAGAGGCAATCTCATGAATTAATGAAATGCAGCTGTTCTGCAGTTCACTCTGCTACCTTCACTAGGCCAGTACCTACAGCTTGTTTTGGTGCTGGAATGCTACATATTAAGATGTTTAAAATACAGTTTCATATTTCAGTTAGTCTACCACTGGAAATCTGGGTTTCCATCTCTGGTAAGAGAATGGGGAAATCTACCAGAGTTTTCTCAAAACCATGTTCAAAGTTTCCCTCCTCCTCCCCCTTTTTCCTTCCATTTTTCAGCCTCAATTCTTCTTATTAGCTTACAAGAGCACATAAAATACATAAAAACCCCATTAACTCTGTGACAAATAAACATTTTGGAAATTTAGAGCATTCACAAAAAAGTTTTGCTAACAGATGTTATTAAATGAGCATGTATACACTTGTGTGGTATGTTAGTGGCTTTACATTCGTTGGTCATCTGAGTATTCCACCACTCAAGTCTGAGAGAACTAATTCGCAACTAGAAGAGATAAATTTTAAGATTTAAAACTACCCACTTCAAGACATAACCTAAATAAAGTCTCTTTGTTGACAACTGCTACTCTAATTGCAAACACTGTAAGTCCCAGAAGACTGAGTCAGAATCTCCAGCCTCAACTAGTTGAAGTGTTGAAGATGGGAAGAAACACAGCACTCTTTCAGGTGTCTTTAATGGGCAAGATGGCACTGTGCCACAGAAGGGAATACATCAGGACATCATCTAAGACAAAAAGGAATATATTTGAAGCTACTTACACAGCCAGTGTTGTGCAGGCAAGATATTAAAGCAAAACAAAACAAAACAAAACAAACTCCCTCCAAAAGCTTACGTCTATTGGTATTTGTCTCTGAGAAGCTGGATTCTTTTTGGTCTGTGTGGACAACTCTGTTTCTAGTAGAATCATCTCTATTTCCATACCGTTCCTTCCATTCCTGGAAAAAAGGCCAAAAAAAGAAATGTAAGCTGTGAGAAAAAAGCAACACAACAAAAGCATATACAGGATCAAGAAATATTCCAGACCCACAACTTAGAGCTAACTGATCAGTCACATCAGACTACTATGAAAGGAATACTTTGAAAATGTGCCTGTTCAGTTTCTTGATACAGAAAGAATTTTTGTTTTATTTTAAACTCAAAATATGTCCCTTCAATAAGCTGGCTGCCATAACTGCTCTTTAGAAAAAAGACTTTCAGAAAATAAATTACATATTGAATCTGCACTCAAAGTTCACTCAGCTGTTTTGGTGGGAACATTGCTTTTTTGATTTCTACTTCCATCTAGTGGTAGAATGGAAAAATAACCAGATGCAGATAGCGCAAAAAACCCCATTTGGACAGGCAGTGTTTACTAAGCTTGTTGCTCTGTGTTTCATTTCACGCTTAGTATGTAAACATTTTTGTATGAAGTATAATGAAATATTAAAGAATAAAATGTCTCATGATTTTATTAATAATTTCATGTCTTAATAGAAACTTTTCCAACTGTTCCAGTTAATATGTTTCAGATTCATATCTAGATCCCAGATTATGCACTGGTAGGAACTGGAATACTCAAAGTTACAGTGCTAATTTATGCCATATGTTACAGTTCTAAGCTCCAGAAGGATCAAACATTTAATTATGATCCACTCTCAAAAGCCCCAAAAGTTTCAAGAATTACTTATTTGCTATGTAAAGTCAAAAACCAGGTACATCTGAAATTGTCTGCTGTTGAACTAAAATTGTTGATTAATGTAAGATCATTTCAGCATATACCAAATGCATCAGGCATTTGCTACTATTTTGTTTCACAATCAGTTCAAATTCTAAAATTATGAGATGGGAGAGAGGATCAGAAGGTCTATGCAGTATTGGCTGTCATCCACAATTAAAGTATTCCTGAGCCTGAAAAGTCAAGAGGTTTCAGTCCCAGTATTATCTTGTCTTTCTGCAGATAATATTTTCCCCTTCTTCCAGTTAGTTCATTTTTTGCATGCATCCTTTCAATTTATCTCTTTGATTGTGACTTTCTATACTAAATTACAAATATTATAAATTAGTGAAAACCCAAAGCTATAGTTAACTGAAGCTCCTTAAAATGAAACTGCCTGAATAAAATATTTTTTATTCATATTGACTGTCTTCACAAATCTTTCAATTCAGTATTCACTCAAAGTCCGACTTGAATCAAACATTCTGTCCCTCAGTGGTAACACTATTAATCCTGTCTTAAATGTAATTCCCTCATCTGAAAAAAAAATCAAATAAAATTTAAAAAACTGTGCCAATTACTTTCCAATGAGTCCACAAAGCAACAGGTAAGTTTGGGAGGAGAATACAGTCCTCATTTCAGTGAATAGGATGACACTGCAACTGCAGTTATTTCAAGCAGAGCAGTATCAATATAAGAGACTGATAATAAGCCATTTCATGTTATTCTGCATCCTAGAAATTGGGACCCTTTTTAATGATTGTTACACCTATCAGCACACACTGTTCTCACAGCACACTAAATAACAGAAGTGTCCAAGAACTGTGAAACAATCACCCTCTTATCATCTAAAACTAAAATGTAGATTACTCACCCCCCCCACCTCCCCCGAAAAGACTATTCTGCAAGATTAAACTGATTCCATCAATTATTGGGGACTTACTTTTTTCTGAAATAGATCATGCTGAATTAAATAGCAACAGAAAATCCTATCAGATATTGTTGTATATTAATATTATAATTAGCTAAAACAATCTCATACCCTTCTTCTGTTTTCACCTTCTTCCTGCCTTTGTCGTTTTCTTTTCTCTATAAATATAAAAAAGAAAAATAATCTGAGCTCCATACAAGAAAAAATCACTACCAATATTTTTTTTAAACAAAACAATGAAAATCTACCAAAGATTCTTATTGAAATATATGGCTTATACAATTACATAAAACCAAAAGACAAAGTTGCTTGTCTATTATTATGGAGTTTCCCATTGAAGTGAATTCATCATGATGATTATCTTGCACCAAGGCATAACATTTGGATATCAGCTGGCAAAGTAAAAACCAAAACTTCTTCAAAATAGCTGGGAAAAGTATGACATTAAAAAGAAACTTGAGCATTACTGAATCAAAATCTTCCTGAAATTTTATGAGGCCTAAAGCATGACCCAAACAGTTTGTGTCCATATCTGGTATTAAGATGGAAGTGTAACATCATAGTATCAAAGAAACAGAAACCCCTCATTTAAGGGAATGACAGACATTCCTCTTTCTCCAAGAAAAGAAATACTACCACCCTAAGTAAATCTACGTTTTGTTTTTCATAGACTATGAAAGGAGAATAAAAGTATTGCATACTATAACATTGTATCCAGAGATTTAAATTTTGAAAAAATTACTTAGGAACCACAACAGCTTTTAATGACTTTCAATAAAAAGAAACATTTTTTATTTTCTTCAAGAAACATTTTCAATAAAAATTATCATTAAAAAAATTAAAAGGCTCTCCAAAACAACAGAAAATTACATCTCTACAGAGTAACAAGCTTTCCTGTGATAAAAACCAGTTAGTTGAATCAGCAAAAAAATCCTAAAGGAAATAACAGAATTTGGGCAGCTCAACCAACACACTTAAACAAAGAAAGATTAAAATTAGTTTGTTGGTGATAAAGACAATTTAAGTGCTAACTATCCTTTACGACATATTACACAAGCACCTGCTCAGGTATTATTCTGACTTCAGAGGAGTATCACTTAAATGAACTGTAAAATATTTAGAAATATCTGAATTCAGACAATGGATAAGTAAAACTGATATATCACTTAAGATGTCAGTGTAGTCCAGTACTGTGTATATAGCAACCATAATGCTGTAAGTCTGTCGCATTTTGTGCAGCAGACTGCTTCAGTACAGTTTACAAACTACTGATAAGCTGTATATTGGGGCTATTTTTGTGCAACGTTTCAGACAAGTTTAACGCAACACATTATATTTTGTATGAAAACTAGGATAGAGAACCTAACTTACCTCTTCTGATGAGCTCTTTTCCTTCATCAATCAAATCAGAGGTCATTTCACTATCCCCCATGAACTGCTGGAATCCCAAAAGATTCAAACAACGAGTTCCTAAACTGGAAAAGAATAGGCAATTTCCTTTGTTAATCTACAATGAACAGTTTAGATGTACTACAATGCAAAATGTAAAACAAATTATTCAGAAATTTATGGACAATTCAAGTAGAAAAACAATACAGAAGACAGATTATTATATTATCTGAGAAATCAGAAAATTCAGAAGTGACGTGTTCCTAAGTGCAACTGAAAGTGATAGAATAATCCTATTCAAATAGAGATAAAACTGTTTATAGTCTGAGAGTAGTGCAAATGATTAAGAGAATTGCTTGAAATGTTCACATATATAACAGAAATTATACCTATGATATCTCATTGACTCTTTTTTGCTAGAAGACAATTACTGTAAAAATTGTTCCTATTATGATTTCTGTGGTTTTGAAACAGTAATAACATAGGAAAGCCACCTTCACCTCAGGTTTCACTCAGGAGAAACGTTTCACACACTCTTAAGCTGCAGGGATGCTGGCTGCCACTTGCAATATCCATTAGGTAGCAGTCAAATAACAATATTGCTCCACCTTTTTTTAAGATACACCTAGAGCTAGATAGCCACTTTCCCCTTTTCAAATTCACGCCAGAGAATGCAATTGTTGTTTTTGTTTTCCTCTCTATGGACCGAAGAATCATTAACATGTTCAAAATTGGCTTAATTGTATATTTATGCTGAAAAGTTCCTTCTCCTGTACTATCTGGACTGCTGGATTAAACAAGGGAGACAGCTTTCCTTGACAGATTTTAATTAAACGTACAGTTTTGCATGTATCTGAATTATTAGAGGGCATTAAAGTTCATGCAAAGCAACTTCCTCCTCATTAGTTTCTGTTCTTCCTTTTCACTATGGCATTCAACACCGAGAATCATCATGGATGAGAAGTCACACAAACTATTTCTTGTCACTGACTTTCCCGTTTAGGTTTTTGGGTTGTTTTTTTTTTTTCCTCCACCACCATTTTTGCCATCTAACTTAAAGGTAAGCAGGGAAAACCCAGGACTGGATCCTTGTCTTACTGTCTATAAATGTACACAGGGTATTACTGGACATTCAAGGCATTTAACTACATTTTACACGACTGAAAACATACACGTTGCACCTGACTGAATGGTAATACAAAATAGAAGAAGTGAACATAAATGTAGCCAAGCAAGGTCAGACCGAAAGTGTCTCATGCCTTACAGTGGTCAAAAGCAGATATTTGGAATGTAAGGATAAAGCAAGCATACAACAGTATTTTCTGCAAATACCCTTCCAGCCAACAAACTGTGGCTTAGGGAAACAAGATCAAATGATTTAAACCACTATGCTTTCAAACTGAAGTCTGGTAACAGATCAGAAATTTGTTATGAGTCTGTTAGAAAGTTCATTACCTGAAGTTTCTGATAATGCTTATTAGGTTATTAGAAAATCTTGCTGAAAACATGGTAATTTTAATCTCAAAAGCAGAATCTAAATGCTTATGGGCTTCAGAGTTTTAACAGATCAGATCTCAAAACCAAGGAACGTAGTTTAATGGGGAAAAAAACTTCACAACTCACTTATGAGTTAATACAGTCAATACTTTTAAAATACATGCATTTCACATATATAAATAGACACTTACTGGTTTAGTTTTTGCATTTTTATTAATGTGTCACAATTTAACTGCTGGAAAAGGAAAAGTGAATCTTTTCCTGATCAGTGAAACTAATATTACTAATGTAAAGAAACATGGCGGACCTGTCTTGCAAATCACTTACCTAAAGTATGTGGCAATACAGAGAATGACAACAAGCATTGGGTAGTAAATATAGAATCCATCTGCAATGAAGGACAGCACTCTCATGGATCCCATTATCTGGAAAAAAAATCCACAAGAACAAGCTCTAATCAGATACATTCTACCTATATCCATAAAGATTGTGCCATCTCACTATTTTCAGTCTGCAACACACAAGCACACAATCCTTTACAGTTAATGAAACCTGACTAAGTATTATCATCACAGATCTGATTCAGACAGTTGACCCAGAACAACTAGATATAAACGCCATCTCTAACAGTGTATCCACGTAGAGGTTTCTAAGATGCTAGATCTTGTCTCACCTAATCCAGAACCAGTTCAAATCTGGTGGATCTTTTCATCTACTGTGAAAGGAGTCTCTGGACAACACTAAGAATCTACTTGCTAATTAAGACATGAGACATAACTTGCTGTCCTACAGAAATTTGTTGTTTAGTAAAACCAAACTCACTGGTTTTCAGTGGCAAGTTAGGTTTGCCTGATCTATAAAGGTGTCCCATAAAGACAGTGGAAACTAAAACTATTAGGAAGTGAAGAACAGTCTGAATTCTTCAGTATAATACTTTACTTTCTTAGGATAAAGAGACCAAAACGAAATAATTGAGCTAGTGATGAACCCTAGCAATCATTACCAAACTCCTGGTCTATCACTAAGTATTTGTACCCTGTTTAATACTAGTGAAGAGATTGAATGTCTGAATCTTACTATAAGAAATATTTTAAAATATTTTTACTATTCTCCAAACCATACAGACGACTCAAAATTACATTTTCTATACTTACAGATGTATAAGCAGTTGGCTGTGTGTTTTTGTGAGAGATTGTTGCATCCATATGGGTCAATCCCAAAAAGTTCAAGCATAATGGTGGAGTGAGACGGCAAAATAACCTTCACAAATGCAAGAGGCAACAGCATTTAAAACAATTTCTTGCACTAGAAATATCAAGAAATCGTAAATGGACACATCACAGAATAATGATGTACAGATTATGAGGATTTATACTCATATGATTATAAATGAAAGAATATAAATCAAAGTTTTATGGAAACTTTCAATTATTTGACAGAAAATCTGGAAAATATATGCCACATACTCACATGCCACTGAAAAGGAGACTGTATGCATCTGTCTGATGATGTGAAGCTAAGTAATAATAGTTAAATACACGGATCCTGAAGACAGTAGAGTAAACACAGATACTTAGGAAAAAGATGGTAAGAAAACAGGCCATCTGAGGGAAAAAAAAAATCGTTTGAATATAGAACTCTACTAGAAGTTTTAATGCATTCAGCACATAGTCTGTTCACACAACAGGTTGACTGCAGTCTAATTTTCCATTTTGAGAATGGACAGTAACACCAGCTCTGAGAAGAGCTTTTCAGGAGTTTTGTTGACTAATTGTGCTGGTTTCAGCTGGGATAGAATTAATTTTATTCCTAGTAGCTCGTACAGTGCTGTGCTTTGGATTTAGTGTGAGAATAATGTTGATAACACACTGATGGTTTAGTTGTTAAGTAGTGCTTATCCTCAGTCACGGATTTTTCAGTCTCCCATGTTCTCTCTGTGAGCAGATGTACAAGAAGCTGGGAGAGAGCATGTCCAGGACAGCTGACCTGAACTAGCCAAAGGGATATTCCGAACCATAAAGCATCATACTCAGTACATAAACTGGGGGGGGGTTTGGGGTGGCCAGGAGGTATGGATCACTGCTCAGGCACTGGTCAGTGGGTGGTAAGCAACTACACTGTGCATCACTTGTCTTCATCTTTGTTTTCTTTTTTATTTTTTTAATTACATGCCTTTTCATTACAATTATAATTATTATATTTTTAAATTATTATTATATTACATTTTATTTAGTTACTAAACCCTTCTTATTTCAACCCACAAGTCTTACCTTTCTTTCCAATTCTCCTCCCCATCCCACTGGGGGGGGGAAGGAGTGAGCAAGTCTCTGTGTGGTGCTTAGTTCCTGGCTGGGGTTAAACCACAACACTAATTTAAATTACGAATGATACTTGTAACATTCTGCACTTCATATAAGCTAACACAGTGGACTCTAGGAACATTTATTCTTCTACTTTTCACTATGTAAATGAAATTGCTGTAATTGCCTTGATAGATTTGACAGTTTTCTTCCCACAAAAAGTGATAAAAACAAGTGCGTTCAATTCAACCTAGTTTGTTAGTATACTGGAATTTTTCAGCTCAGTTTCTTTACTGATAAATTTTTCATACACGTGCCACCCCTGTGACTGAATTTCTGGTCAGCAGCGAATTCCTGTTTAGGAAAGAAACGTCACAGACATCGCTAATTAGACAAAATCTAAACACCTACGCTTCAAGTTAATGTTTCACAAATTACTACACAAGATATTCAGCTGAACTGGGTCACACCTTCACCCCATACTGTAGAGTTGTGAGAAGTGGCAAAACGTAGACTCCCTCCACAGAAACAAAGTTTGATATTATATATATTAGGGATCTTCTGAAAGTTGACAGATTATTTAGAGACTTATTTTTAAATCAATCTCATCTACTATGGTAATAAAGATTTCATTGTGTGATTATCTCAAACTTACCTCTATGTATATATAATTATATGTCTTTTCTGCCAGCTGTATGAAAACTGCAAATAGCGATAAAACTGGTTTTGTGCTGAAAAATGTGCACTCTGACCACACAACAATTACAGAGAAAGTGGCCAGAACAACTGCAAGCACCCTGTAAAACCACGGTCGTAGAAGACATTCCCAGTACCACTCTGGAAAAAACAAGCACACACACATTCGGAATGGGTTAATGAAAATTACACAGCCAGAAATGGAACTCCCTCTCAAAAACAGTCACAAACTTCTTGCATGCATACCCTCTAAAGGCTGGAATCTTTGAGGTCACACACTTACTTTTCAGGGCTTTTCCAATGCCCAGAGATCTGGTTCAGCTCTAAGGAATCATATACACAACTGGGGAAAACAGAGTGGGATTTGGGAGGCAAATTTTGCAAATGGACTAGGGGGTGTGGGGCATGTAGAACAGAACTCCACTTTTGGCACAGGTATGATGGGTGATGTGCTTCTTGTCTGTTCATCTGTTAGCCTCTCAGAAACAGTTTAGACTCTAAAATTATACTGTCCTATCCTGGAAATAACTCATTGCTAGTACACAACCAATTAAAAGTTAAAACTTGATTAAGAGAAGACACTTTCTGAAAAGATGCACAAGCAGACATGTCTCCTAATGTATGGTATGTGACAGACGAAGAGTCCTTTCCTCTGCTTTACTAGAAGAGCGGTGCCACCTCAATAATATCCCACAAATGTAGAAGGTAGCCATGACCAAATAATTTAAAGTTGTTATTTTTCTTTCTTCTTTCTTCTTCTAAGGCTTCAAAGTTTTATATTCCTATTACAACATATTACTGTTGTAAAGAAATTTAAGCTTATGGTCAAGATCGTAAGTCAATACCTGATAGCTATTCCATTACATAAATGCATTAAGATGCACATTTGCTTCCCTGCTACTGTAACTGAACTTCTTATCTAAAACAATCAGTTCTTACAAAACAGTACTCATTACTTCTTTAAATATTCAAAATCTGTATGACAGCACTTACCAACAGTTGGTGTGTAGAAATACTGTATAATTTTATTCTCTGGTTCCTGGGAATGAAAGGTATGAACAAACTGTCGAGTTGCACTGGTTTCATTTTTTGCCACATCTTCTAGGTAAAATGCTTGTTCTAAAAGAATTTGCCACTGGACCTGTGTACGACGATGTCTCTGTACTGAATAAATTACCTACAATAAATTCCAAGAAACTACGGTTACAATATACTTGTTTCAAGAAACAGAGAAGAGCCTTGCAAAATCCCTTAAAAATGCCTACATTACAGAATTGCAGACATTAATTCTGTATACTCTTAAAAGCAGGCAGTTAATTCTCTAAACATATACATGGTAAGAGGACTGCACATGACTCCAGAGTTTTGCTGTTCTTTTATCACAATCTATCTGTAGCAACAACAGCCTATTTTTTCCAACATACCACTTTATTTTTGCATCTTAGTGAATATAAAGCTTTTATTACAATTTTTTTTCTAGAATGCACTGTCAAGCAATCATTACAACGCTTACTCAGAGACAGTTAAAACACTGTCAAGAACACTTTTTACACATCCAGAAATTTGATCTGGATGCCATTTGGGATATTAAACTTCTATGTTTCCTTTCATTGAGAAAAGTTTCTGTTAAGTAGCAATCCCAAAACACACTATACTCAGCAATTCAGGTAAAGTGCATTGAAAATCCTTGTTTGACTAGCATTTAGTCTCACTACATTAGTGTGAGGCATTCTCTCATTTGTTAGTATACCTGCTTGTGAAGTTTGACCAAACTTTTTTCACTTGGATAACTGTTCTGTCTTTCATCAAAATCTTCATAATCATCCATGTTCCTACCCATTCTTTCCTGGTACTCAGTAGGACACTAGAAGGAAAAGGGAAAATTAAATGGAAGATGAAGGAATAGCAAGTGCTCTTTTCTAATTATTTGGAAATGTTTGGGGAATTTAATGGAACTGAAAAGTGCATTCTAAGTGTAGATTTTTCTGTTTCTAAAATACTACATATGTCAAAATAATTATAGTAGATAATTACAAAATCATAGGACAGCATTGTGCAAAGAATTTCAATTCAAATTCTTGTCAGAAATTCACAAGATGCCAGTTAGAGATTTTGTGTTAAGGGAAAAAGGAAATAATGTACAGGTATTCAATAGGTGCAGGAAGCACTCCCTCCCAGTTGAACAATTATGGCTGAAGATGAGCAATTTGTTACCTTTTTCAGTATTGTATCAACACATTTTCTCAAAGGATGATTATACTTGATACTCTCACTTACTTTACGGACTTCCTGTTGAAAAAAAAAAAAGAGTTGTTTGACTATGTTTAATAGATTAAAAAATTTTACAGGGTCAGATAAGAGTTCCAGCTCTCTCAATGGAAAAGATAACCATCATGCTTAAAACCAACAAAACTTCCTAAAAGCCACAGCTTTACTGCACATGTAATAAGAGGGAACTTAAGGTACTTTTTTTGCATATATGTATTTTCTTTTTAAAACCACAGTGCCAGTGTGGAAATATTATTCTATGAGTGTGTGGAGGATTGGTTTCTATGCATAAATGTTGAAATGGAAAATACTTTCTTACTTCAGTTGTAGGTAAAGAGGAAGAGTATCTTACCTGGTTTAGTTCCACTTTTATGACTTTAAGCAGCTTGATGAATATAATTTTACACTACTTCATTTTGTACCTTCCTCACATTTATCTCCATATAGGTCACTTCTGAGACCATTTCGCATTTATTAGTAATGAAAAGATGGCACCTAAAAGCTAGGTAAGTTGTGTCAGAACTGGCTCTAGCAGTTTATCAGGCTTAGCGAGAACTACCTTTTATTCATTATCCTATTGGCAAACCAGAGGAAAAACTTCTGATGCTTTTTTGTTGCTGTTACAAACAGCACTTTATAAACAAGATGTAAGTTCTAGAGTCTGGAGGACAGGAATCATTGTAAAGCCTTAGAAATCTTGTCAAATACAATGATTATGCAGACAGAATTGTATTTGTTTAGTGTGACAAAGCTAAATGCATATAGACAGTCCTTCAGCATATAAAAGGCTGTTTTAACAGATGATTGTCAGTAAAACTGGATTCTCTCCAAATCTCCTAAAAGAGATCTGATTAGTGTGGCAATGTAGTGTGTGGCAAAATAAGTCTGTGGCTATGATCTTACTGACATCACAGAGACTTGGTGGGATGACTTCTATGACTGTAGTGTTGGAAGGAGGGATACAGGCTCTTTAGGAAGGACAGGCAGGGGAGACGAGGAGGGGGTGTCACCCCCAATGTCAGTGACAGCTGGAGTGCAGGGAGCTCTGCCTGGGGACAGGTGAGGAGCCGACCGAGAGTTGATGGGTCAGGACTAAAGGGAGGGCAGGGACAGGAGATGTTATAGTGAGGGTCTCCTACAGGCCACCCAACCAGAAAGACTAAGTGGATGAAGGCCTCTATAGATAGATAGGAGCAGCCTCATGTTCACAGGCCTGGTCCTCATGGGGGACTTCAACCACTGATACCTGTTGGAGGGATGACACAGAAGGGCAGAAGAAATCCAGGAGATTCCTAGGATGCACTGATGATAACTTCCTTCTCCAAGTAGTAGAGGAGCCAATGAGAAGTGCTATGCTGGACTTTGTTCTCACCAACAAGGAGGGGCTGGTGGGGAATGTGACCTCAAGGGCAGCATTGGCTGCAGTGACCATGAAACGGTGGTAGTGCAAGATCCTTAGGGCATCAATGAGGGTGCACATCAAGCTCGTTACCCTGGGCTTCAGGAGAGCAGACTTTGGCCTCCCCAGGGATCTGCTTGGCAGAGTAGCATGTGGTAAAGCTCTGGAGGGAAGAGGGGCCCAAGAAAGCTGGTTGATATTCAAGGATCACCTCCTCCAAGCTCAGGAATGACACATCCTGACAAAGAGGAAGTCAGGCAGAAATGCCAGGAGCTCTGCATGGATGAGCAAGGAGCTCCTGGATAAGCTCAAACACAAAAAGGAAGCCTACAGAGGGTGGAAGAAAGGACAGATAGCCTGGGAAGAATACAAAGAAACTGTCCAAGCATACAGGCATCAGGTTAGGAAGGCCAAAGCCCTGATAGAATTAAATCTGTCCAGGGACATCAAGGGCAACAACAAAAGCTTCTATAGGTACACACTGGTGATAAAGGGAAGACTAAGGAAAATGTGTGCCCTCTCTGGAAAGAAACAGGGGACCTGGTTACCTGGGACATGGAGAAGACTGAGGCAGTCAACAACTTTTTTGTCTCAGTCTTCACCAGCAAGTGATCCAGCCATACCACCCAAGATGCAGAATGCAAAGGGGACTGGAAGAATGAAAAACTGCCCACTGTACGAGAAGATCAGGTTTAAGACCATCTAAGGAACCTGACGGTTGTACTGGGTTTGTGTGGCAGGGTTTTTTGGTAGCAGGGGTGGGGGCTACAGCAGTGGCTCCTGTGAGAAGCTTCTTGAAGCTTCCCCAGCTTGAAGATGGATAGCGATGGTGGCTGCACCTCTGTGATAAATGTATTTCAGAAAGAGAACCTGAGAGGGGGTTGGAGGACTTCTGAGGAGGAGTTACAAGAACAATATCTGTGTGAACACTAAGGTCAGTGGAAGAAAGGAGGAAAGCGGGGAGGTGTGCCAGAACAGAGACTGTATCCCATGGTGAGAGGGCAGACTGTGCCCCTGCCACCCACGGAGATCACCAGTGGAGCAGAGGCTGACCTGTGGCCTGTGGAAGACACCACACCAAAGCAGGCAGCTGCAGTTCACGGAGGCTGGGACTCTGAGGGAAGAAGTCGTCCCTGCTGTTGTAGTTTGGCACTGTGAGGACCGCAACATGCAGGAGTAATCCACACAGGAGCAGCTTGGGAACGGCTGCATCCTATGGGGAGAACTCACGTGGAACACTCTAAGAATGCCAGAAGTTTCCCTTCCTCCTTAACAAGAAGGAAGAAGTGGTGAACTGACTGCACCTCTGGTCCTCTGACCCCTGCACCACTGAGAGGAGGAGGAATTAGAGAGATTGGGAGCAGAGCTGAGCCCAAAAGGAGGGAGGGGTGGGAGGAAATGACTTCTTACTGTCCCACTTTGTCTGTTAAGTGGTGGTGGTGGTGTTAGTGTTTGAATTAAAGTAACATTCTTTTTTCCTTCCCCTGAGGAGTCTGTTGTCTTTTGCAATAATGGATGAAACATACCTCCCTGTCCTTATCTCAATTCCTGAGCCAAGCCTTTTGCTTCATTTTCTCCTTCCCAGTGCTGGAGCTGGGAAGGGGTGAGTGAATGGCTGCATGGTGTTCAGTTGCCCTCTGGGCTCAAGCCATGACGAGGTGCACAAGTCTATGGGACTTGGTAAGATGCAACCAAGGGTCCTGAGGGAACTAGCAGATTAAGTGTCTAAGCCACTATCCACCATATTTGAGAAGTTGTGGCAGTCTGGTGAAGTTTCCACTAATGGGAAAAGTGAAACCCCCCATTTTTAAAATCACAGAAGAAGCTACCACCCTATCCTACAGCTCTTCAGAAGTATTATTTCAAAGCCATGGTATCAGAGCAGTAGAACAGGGAATAGCTATTCAACGGGTTGAATTCTGTTCTTGAACTACATTAGAGCCTATTGCTCACTAAACCATTTGAAAAGAACAATGATCTATATATTCTCTTCTCAAAAGGCCCATAGCATGGTCCTGCCAATGGTCCTGGAAACTCTGCTCAGAAATCCAGAAACATAATTGGAGCACAGCATAAAACCAAACATACACAATTTGCATGAACACTGGTGAAACATCTGTACACTGTATTTTCAAGTTCACTCTATAATGTTATTTCATTTGTGAACAATATAACTCCAAAAATGTCACTAAAAGAATAAAAACAACAAATAATGGTTATCAAGTTGCCAAGTTGTTCATATCAGGGCCTATTTATCTTTTGATTTTTAGATAGGATTGAGTGCCATTAAGTAGCACACTATGATGATTTTCTTAATTTACTGGTATTTCACAGTAAGTTCATGCTACTTATGTTTTCCTGCCACAAGTACTCAAACACCCAGAAATTCAGAGATAATTAACAACAGCTTTCACTTATTTCATAGCAAAAACTAGTTACTTACCTCCATAATATCCTCTAAATTCTCCTCTGCATCTGCTTTTTCAGTTGTCAGTTTGGCAGCTTTGAAATAGGTCTTCATGAGTAGATAACCCCTCTTTGCCCCATTCCAGTGAGAACGGGGAATTTCTACCAAACCATAACCCAAAAGCAACACAAGAAGAAAGAGACCCCATGTGTTTGCTGCAGCTATCCCAATAGTCTGAAGTTGGTTCCTAAGGAAAAAACAACAGTAAAAACAAAAAACCAAACAATATCCTCCTACCCCACCTGCAAGAAAGCAGCCTTGAAGCATCTGTGTACCAAGGTGGCTTTAAAGTTCACAGAAACAGACGTAGTATCTGTAATTCTTGCCAAGGGCCAGTCTGCTACTTGGCTGCATTTAAAGTTGTCATGTTTTTTTTGTATCTCCCATGTTTCTGTCCCCTCTGGAGGGAAGACAAAAATGTTTGTTCTCAAAGGAGTATGTTTCTTTAAGAAACAACATGAACTTGGCAAACTTCTTGAAACTGAGGTCAAAACAGCGTAAGGGCAGTCACTATAAGAAACAGCCTCAGAACCCAGGGTTTGTACTCAGAAGTGGAAAGCAACTAGGCATTACATGACAGTGTTTACAACTGTATCTAGTGTGGAAGAATATTAGCAATGTTAAAAATACCAATTATTTTAACTTATTGCCTTAAACAAAATATACAGTAAATGGAAGCACTACACAGGAAATATTGACAGACTTTGAGAGATGTTATTCTGAAAACACTAAGAAAGTTTCTGCACTAACTTTGCAAATGCATTTGTAGGGGAAAAAAAAACCCACACTGCAAATATAAGAGGATTCCTCTGCCTCACATATCAAAATCAGAAAACCAAGACAAACTTCTATAAAGTCAAAAGTACACTTTCCATAAAAAAATTAACAAAACTTTCCAACTGCCTATCAAAAATCAGATAAACTAAAATTATTTTTTTAAAAAGACCCATTTCATCTACAGAAGAGATTACCTGTGACAATTTTTAAGAACTCCTGCAAGTACTTACAACTTATTCTTACCATTGTAAATTGAAGTTTGGATTTACAGCCACGTATATTAAAAATGCTCCAAAAATCAGCAAGTAAGTGCCATAATAGATTGCATTCTCAATCAATGCAGTTTTAATCTTTCCAGTAATGGAGAACCCTCCTGATCTAGCATATGACTGCATGAAAGGTAGCAGAATCCTAGGAAGAAAACAAAACCAAACCACATCAGCCAACCAGGAAAAAAAAAAAAAAAAAAGTAGTTTAGTAGTGGCAGGATACTGAGACAGGGGTGTTTAAACTGAAGACTCCAAGGTTAACTACCTAGCTATATGTTTTTATTCTAGATGTACTGGTCTGATGGCAAACCTCAGTCAAGCTGCAGACAAAAACAATACAGTTAGCTTTACAATGAAAAATCTGTGTTAATTGAGAACTCACTACCAACCCTGATATTCTTGACTGATCTAATAATTATTTGATAACAGGTTGATCAGAAACCACACACCAGTCTAACCCAAACGCACAATCAGTCTGTTTGCTGTAGCTACATCTACAGCTTTATATAGCACATACAATAAAACCAAATAGTTTACAATATTACTCAAAAATTACCCAACTCAATTCACGGAATTATTTTGGTGTTCTTTGGCCTAAAACTCATTCTTTTCAATGTATCCATAAACACCTCTATATATAAATTGCTCAGTTTCAACTCTAAAAGTGAGCCAAGAGCAAATGGTTGCTACCTGAAAAGGAGAAAAAAAAAAAAAGTATGCTCAATTTAGTAAGTACCTATTCAAGAAATTCACTGCTAGCAAATAATACATGATTAGAAGCTCTGTGGAATAGTGATATATATTCTTAAAGACTATGCTGAGACTGTTAAGATGATGTACTTAGAAGCTGTATCTGTATCATATCTTTTTGCCTTACTTACCATGTTAAAAACTGCGACGTCCAATATACAACACGCCAGAAAATTGGCATAATTCCATTAGGAATATAACTCCATGGTTTGAAACATTTTTGCTTGCTGTAACAATGTAAAGAAACTTATTGTTAGTTGTAGGGCCAAGAGCAGAAAACCCACTTTCTATAAATTCCCCTATCTAGAAAGGTCATTGAAAATAGCATAGAGGTAATACACTAGTATTTGAGTACACAGTCAACCATCAACCGTCTCAGAAGAAAAAAAAATGAATCACCACTTGAAAACATTTATCATTCTCCTCACTGCAAATATCTGGACAAGACAGATTTCTTAGAGAAAAAAACAGTAGCTCAAAGACTAAAGAGAAATAAATAATTAAGAAATTTAAGGTTACAATTTTTCTTTTGGGGCAGAAAGTACTTACTTCATGCAAAGAAAAAACATTTCTGTAGACAGAAGACCATTCAACTTTTGTTAGTGTCCTGGTTCAGCCAGGATAGAGTAAAGTTTTCCCCAGCAGAGAGAGAGGGGGAAGGGATCTCCAGCCGGGTTATTCATACCATGCTGACATCAGGTCCGGTGGGCAGAACCCTTTTTCCTTACTCCTTGGTTGGTACGGGAGGGAATTTGGCTTTCCGTGACCAGCTAGCGGTATTTCTCTGTATATCGTTTGTCTTGTTCACTGTTATTGCTGTTTGTTGTTACCACTGATACTGTTGTTATTCAGATTGTTCTATCACTCTGTTGTATTAAATTTCTTGTTATTTTAGCCGGGGTCTGTGTTTGACTTCCAGCCCGACCGGCGCGGGTGGGGGAGGGGCAACGGCCACATGCTCCCTGACCCCAGCAAGGTTTAAAACTTGCACATTATTAATTGGCACCCAACGTGGGGCATTGGAATAAGAATAAAAAGGGACAGACCCTGACCAGAGTGTGGTAGAGCAATCTGTTGGGTGTAATTTTTTTTGTATCTGTTTGATAAGAAAATATTTGTGATGCCGGCCCACATGTTTGCATGGTGCGGCTGGATTACTCCTTATATCCAGTTTATGATCCCTGTGGTGGCGTTTGTTATGGGTAGAAAATGTATAAAGGTTCTTATGTTGTTGTACGGGCTATTGAACGCGTACGCTGCCTTTGTATCGCTGTGTGGGGGGTGGGCCGGCACCTGTTTGCCTTTTGGGCTTTTGTTAGGGGTATCACCCCCTCTGTGGGTGAGCCAGGGGAAGGGATCCTCTCGGCTTTGAGGCGGTTTAGCCCCCCCTGGAGCCTGCAAGCCAGTGTGATTGTGGCACTATGCCTTCTGAACGTCTGCCTGATTTTGGTTTTGGCCATGAAGCGTTTCTCTAACAATAGCAGTGCCGGGAAACGTGCCCCGAGGTCAGATAATAGTGAGTGGCAAGGGGTGTGGGAAAAGATGGGCAAAGGCCTGAGTTGGTGGGCACCCTCAATGCTTTGGAATTTCACTCCTGAGCAAATGCAGAGCCCCGATAAACTGATGGAGTGCTTAGAAAGGGTGTGTTACCAAGCTGGCAAAACCCAGGAGACACAAATCACTGCAATGTGTTGGGGACTTGCCCATGCGTACTGTGCCCTCTTTAATACCACCCGCTGCCCTCAAGGGGGAGAAAAGGCCACACAAACAATATCTGAACCGGGGGCACAGGCAGAGCCAGTCTCAGTCGCCTCCACCAGCACACAGACTGAGCCAGAGAGCCAGGCAGTGCCAGTGTCAGTCGCCCCAATACAGAAAACAAAATATACCAGAAAGTCTGTTCACAGAGTGAGGGATGAGGATGAGCCAGGCCCATCAGGGGAACAGGAGGAAGGACCAGAGGTGACTGTCCCATCTCTGTCCCCGACTGAGCTGCGAGATATGCAGAGAGATTTTGGCCGCCTGGGAGGTGAGCAGATTTGCACCTGGCTGCTCCGATGCTGGGACAATGGAGCCAGTGCTTTTGAAATGGAGGGGAGAGAGGCCAAGCAGCTGGGATCTTTGGCCAAGGATGCTGGCATTGATAGGGAGATAGGGAAACAGGCTCAAACTCTCAGCCTTTGGAAGCGACTCCTGTTCAGTGTGAGGGAGAGGTACCCCTACAAGGATGATATCCTATGTCAGCTGAGCAAATGGACCAACACTGAGAAGGGCATCCAGAGCCTCAGGGAACTGGCTGTGTTTGAGATGATCTATGGTGATCTGAATGATGAGCAGTCACCCATGGACCCAGATCAGGCCCCTTGCACACAACTGATGTGGCAAAAGTTCCTGAAGAGCGCACCAGAAGCACACTCAAAAGCATTGGCAATAGTGTCCTGGTGGACAGACACCCACACTCTAACAGTGGATGGAGTGGTTGGCAAGCTCCGGCAATATGAGGGAAATCTCCCCTCATCTCAACATTCCCTGGTCTCAGCTGTGGAGGAACTGTCTCAGAGGGTCCAGAAGATGGAAGAGGACATGTCCTAAGTTCCACCTGCACGGGCTAATGTCTCAGCCATTAGAAATAAACATTTCTGCACCCAAGAGAAAGGCAGCAGAAGGTACACACCATGAGGCACCCTATGGTTTTTCCTCCGTGACCATGGAGAGAACATAAGGAGGTGGGATGGACAGCCCACTGCTGCCCTAGCTGCACAAGTAGAGCAGCTGAAAGGGAGGACCACCACGAAAGGGGAATCCTCCAAGAGGAGTGCAGCTCCAGTGTCCAGTCAGAAATCCCCCCGGCAGAATAGAATGGTGAACGTTATGTCTGACCCTCTTGAGGGGACCAGTAAGTCATTCTTTCAAGAAGTGAGTGATGATGAGCAGGACTAGAGGGGCCCTGCCTCCAGCCAGGGGGAGGAAAGGGACAATCGGATTTACTGGACAGTGTGGATCTGATGACCTGGCACATCAGACCCACAAGAGTATAAGGCTTTGGCCGACACCGGCGCACAGTGCACCCTGATGCCATCGAGCTACAGTGGGGTTGAATCCATCTGCATCTCTGGAGTGACAGGGGGATCCCAACAGCTGACCCTACTGGAAGCTGAAGTGAGCCTGACTGGGAAGGACTGGCATAAGCACCCCATTGTGACTGGCCCAGATGCCCCGTGCATCCTGGGCATAGACTGTCTCAGGAGAGGGTACTTCAAATACCCAAAAGGGTACTGGTGGGCTTTTGGTGTAGCTGCCCTGGAGGAGGTTGAACAGTTGTCCACCTTACCCGGCCTCTCAGAGGATCCCTCAGTGGTGGGGCGGCTTAACATTGAAGAGTAGCGAGTGCCGATTGCTACCAAGACCGTGTACCAGCGGCAGTACCGCACCAACCGAGATTCCCTGGTCCCCATCCATCAGCTGATCCGTCAACTATAAAGCCAGAAGGTGATCAGCAAAACTCACTCCCCCTTCAACAGCCCTATATGGCCAGTGAGAAAGCCTAATGGTGAATGGAGGCTAACTGTGGACTACCGTGGCCTGAATGAAGTTACACCAGCAATGAGTGCTGCAGTGCTGGACATGCTAGAGCTCCAGTATGAACTGGAGTCTAAGGCAGCCAAGTGGTACGCCACGATTGACATTGCTAACGTGTTTTTCTCCATTCCGATAGCGCCAGAGTGCAGGCCACAGTTTGCGTTCACTTGGAGAGGCATCCAGTACACCTGGAATTGATTGCCCCAGGGGTGGAACCACAGCTCCACCATTTGCCATGGACTGGTCCATACTGCACTGGAGAAAGGTGGGGCTCCAGAACACCTGCAGTATATTGATGACATCATTATATTGGGGGATACAGCTGAGGAAGTCGTTGAGAAAGGGAAGAAGATAATTAAAATCCTCCTGAAGGCCAGCTTTGCCATTAAGCAAAAGAAAGTTAAGGGGCCTGCAAGGGAAATTCAATTCCTAGGAAATAAATGGCAAGATGGGTGTTGCCACATCCCAATGGAGGTGATAAACAAGATAACAGCCATGGCCCCACCAACCTCTAAAAAGGAGACTCAGTCTTTCCTGGGCGCCGTTGGGTTCTGGAGGATGCACATCCCGAACTACAGCCTGATTGTGAGCCCTCTCTACCAAGTAACCCGTAAGAAGAACGATTTTGAATGGGGCCCTGAGCAACAACAATCCTTTGAACAGATTAAACGAGAGATTGCCCAAGCAGTAGCCCTCGGGCCAGTCCAGGAAGGGCAGGAGGTTAAGAACATGCTCTACACTGCAGCCGGGGAGAATGGCCCTACCTGGAGCCTCTGGCAGAGAGCACCTGGGGAGACCCGAGGCCGACCTCTAGGCTTTTGGAGCCGGGGATACAAAGGCTCTGAAGCTAATTATACACCGAGAAGGAGATACTGGCAGTGTATGAAGGAGTTCAGGCTGCCTCAGAAGTGGTCGGCACTGAAACACAGCTCCTCCTGGCACCCCAACTGCCCGTGCTGGGGTGGATGTTCAAAGGAAAAGCCTCCTCCACGCATCATGCAACCGACGCCATGTGGAGTAAATGGGTTGTGTTGATAACACAACGGGCTCGAATTGGGAACCCCAGTCGCCCAGGGATACTAGAGGTGATTACGAACTGGCCAGAGAGCAAAGATTCCGGGATGTCACCAGAACAGGAGGTGACACGTGCTAAGGAGGCCCCACCATATAACGAGCTGCCGGATGAGGAGAAGTGATATGCCCTGTTCACTGATGGGTCTTGTCGCATTGTGGGAAAGCATTGACGATGGAAGGCTGCTGTATGGAGTCCCACACGACGAGTCACTGAAGCTGCTGAGGGACAGGGGGAATCGAGCCAGTTTGCAGAAGTGAAAGCCGTTCAGCTGGCTTTGGATATTGCTGAGTGGGAAAAGTGGCCAAGGCTCTACCTCTACACCGACTCGTGGCCAGTGGCGAATACCCTGTGGAAATGGCTGCAGCAATGGAAGCAGAACAACTGACAACGTAAGGGTAAAACCGTCTGGGCTGCTGAAGTATGGCAGGACATTGCAGCCCGTGTGGAGAACCTCGTTGTGAAGGTACGCCATGGGGATGCCCACATACCCAAGAGTCGGGCCACTGATGAGCATCGACACAACCAGCAGGCAGACCAAGCTGCTAAGATTAGAGTGGCTCAGGTGGACTTGGACTGGCAGCGCAAAGGTGAACTGTTCATAGCCCGGTGGGCCCATGAGACCTCGGGCCACCAAGGTAGGTATGCAACATACAGGTGGGCTCGAGATCGAGGGGTGGACCTTACTATTGACACCATTGCAGAGATCATCCATGGATGCGAGACGTGTGCTGCAATCAAACATGCCAAGCGGGTGAAGCCCCAGCGAAATGAAGTGCGATGGCTGAAATATAGATATGGAGAGGCCTGGCAGATCAACTACATCACACTGCCACAGGAAGCGCCACGTGCTCACAATGGTGGAAGTAACCACTGGGTGGCTGGAAGCTTACCCAGTGCCCCACGCCACTGCCCGGAACACCATCCTGGGCCTTGAGACCCAAGTCCTGTGGCGACACGGCACCCCAGAGAGAATTGAGTCAGACAACGGGACCCAATTCCGAAACAACCTCATAAATGCCTGGGCAGAAGAACACGGCATCGAGTGGGTCTACCATATCCCCTACCACGCACCAGCCTCTGGGAAGATCGAGCACTACAATGGACTGTTAAAAACTATGTTGAAAGCACTGGGAGGTGGCACCTTCAAAGACTGGGACATGCATCTAGCAAAGGCCACCTGGCTCATCAACACAAGAGGATCTGCCAGTCGAGCTGGCCCGGCTCAGTCAAGACCTCCACATGCTACAGATGGGGATAAAGTCCCTGTGGTGTGCATGAGGAATATATTGGGAAAAATGGTCTGGTTTAGTCTTGCACCAGGCAAAGGTAAAGGTAAACCCATCCACGGGACTGCTTTTGCCCAAGGACCTGCGTGCACCTGGTGGGTGATGCAGGACAATGGGGAGGTCCGATGTGTACCACAGGGGGACTTGATTCTGGGTGAGAACATGCCATAAATTATGCTGTGCCTGTGTAGATTATTACTTTGTTATTGTTAACTGCTAAATGGCAGCTGGACATGACGTAGATGGTATACAATAAAGGGGTGGATTATATCCTGGTTCAGCCAGGATAGAGTAAAGTTTTCCCCAGCAGAGAGAGAGGGGGAAGGGATCTCCAGCCGAGTTATTCATCCCATGCTGACGTCAGGTCCGGTGGGCGGAACCCTTTTTCCTTACTCTTTGGTTGGTATGGGAGGGAATTTGTCTTTCCGTGACCAGCTAGCGGTATTTCTCTGTGTATCGTTTGTCTTGTTCACTGTTAGTTGTTATTCAGATAGTTCTATCACTCTGTTGTATTAAATTTCTTGTTATTTTAGCCGGGGTCTGTCTTTAACTTCCAGCCCAACCGGCGCGGGTGGGGGAGTGGCAACGGCCATGTGGTCCCTGATCCCGGCAATGATTAAAACTTGCACAGTTAGTTTAGCAGGTTTTAAAAAAAACATCTAGGGGCCCCATCACCTAGCTGTTTCTTCTGTCACCCAGCTGGATTTAGTCAGGCTTGTATAAACTTTGATTTATTGAGCCAATACTTTTCTGACAGGTAGTGTTTGCTTCATGGGCCCGTAAAAGCCATGAGAGCCTTTTTAGTAAAAGAAGAGCAAAAGACAAAGTGCCTATCCACACTAAGACACTTGGGTTTTTTTTCCAAATACCTGTCTGGGTAATGAAGCAATGGTGAGTCAAAGGACAATACAATCAATTTAATAGGAGTATCTATTGAGAAACAATTAGTGTTTTCCAGGGTCAAACTAGTTAAGCTTGAGTTTTTACATACACAGCCTAAATATTTGCAAAACTATCAAATTGCCATAGAATGACAGGTAGTGTGGCTAAAGGTTTCAAAGTTTTAAGATCTGCATTGCAACAACACAGTATCTGCTCAGTTGCTACTTAAATTGGTATTTCTATTTGATATACTTGTCAAATATTATAGTATAACATCCACCAGCATGTTCTGAAACTGCAGGTAAATGGAAAGGCTATTGAAAAGATTTCAAACTGTGCATTTACGTAGTTATGTTTAGTTAACATACACTGGGTGGTCTTAAATAAAAGGTACAATGTTGTGTCACTAAGTCTGGCATTTTACTGTTCTTCCATGGATATACATCCAGAGAGCCTCCACTTTAGGGCAACAAAACTGACAATACTTTGCATGGACATATCAACTGACATCTTAAATGCTCTTAACTACATTGCACGTATCTACAAGATGTGGAAATAGCCAATGGAGACTAAAGCAGCCACAGAAAGAGAATACATCCACCTACACTCGACATGTTTTAGGGGTTACCTCCTTCCTTTCAGAAGACAGCAAGAAGGCTATTGTTACTTTGGTAGAATACAGTAAATTTCAGATAACTCCAATTACCGTATACATGCAATTATAATAAGCAGTTAGATATGCTGCTTACATGTAAGACAAGCCTACTAACTTCATTCAGAAGATATAAAATTAGATTTTCAAGTCTAAAGTCCTTAAGATAGTGAAGAAAAGATAGGCATTCACCAAGGCCTCTCCTCATAGATAAGCTTGAAAAGCTTAGTTCTATCACTTTACCAACAAAACAGAAGAAATCTAGCATGAAATAAAAAAAACCCCCAACATTTAGGATAATCAGCTAGAACTATTGCATAACTACTACCAATAGATGCAAGGCACTTGTCTTCACCTCTTCCCTCACCTTCCTCTAGGTTTACAATCTTCAAATGTCGTACCTCAGAGATAACACTTGTTTATTATTAAAAACATTGTACATTTAAATTCTTATAATTTAAAAACATTTTAAAAACATTTAAATTCTTATAATTTAAAAAAAGAAAATCATAAAATACTTATTTAAAAACAGTTCAATGAAGAAAACATATCGCTCATACCTTGGAGCAAGAGTAACGTAAGAGCCATTACTTTCTGCGGGGCTGGAGTTAACAGCAAGTTTGCACCGATTATAAATAGTCTAAAAGACAATTAATTTTATATCAGTGACCAAAAAAGGTGTAATTTATTTAAAAATAGCTAGTCCCATTTTTAAAGATGTTTCCTGTATTCCAGGTTTACATTTGGGAACAATTATGCCAATAAACCCTCAAAACAACATACAATCTGAAGGACAAGTAAGTAAAAAACTGGAAGTGTTTTTATGTTGCCTAAACAGGTTAAAAAAAAGGTATAAACAAAAAATTAAATTTTAAAACATTTTAAATTGATTTGTTATCTGATGAGATCAACAAAAAATAAAATTAATTGTAAACATGGACACTGTCATGCAAAAAAGTAACAAGCGTTTAGATTAATAAGAGACTATTCAGAAAATTTATTTGCTGTTTAAGATACTGTCCTTTAACATTGTGATTTTTAAAAAATACGGTACATATTTTACATAGCTAAGCAGAAAATCTCACAAGTTTCTTACCGTACTGACATCCAGAGGCAGTATAAATACAATAAGAAAGCAGAGATACCAAGCCAATAATGTTGCTATGATCACCAGTCTATGCTGCTTCTTGAAGTCCCCATAACGGTGAAGTAGGAATAAGGCCAGAAAAAAGACAAATACTATCTCAAGGCCCAGCGCTGCACCACTCATTATTGAATGTTCACTCCAGCACAGCTCACTTAAGAAAGCAGATCAGAACTGTAAGACAAAAAGACATTTAATTACATTAAAATTTCTGAAAGTTATTTATTCAGAAAAAAAACATTTTAAAACATATTAATAGACTTCTTATTTTACATGACAAAGACTCTGTCCAGATGAAGAACAGGATTTTTTCAGCAAGGTGCTCTAAAGTCCTCTGCAGAAATGTCATTCCAATATTGTCATTTCTAGGAATATATTAGGGCAACTTCTCTTCATCTTGTTGATATACAATAGATCCAGAAGTCAAATGTCTAGACTCTAAGCCTAACTTTTAAGTCTAGTATAAATTTCAAAAGAAAATACATTCTGCTCTTTTTTTTTCTTTTAAAAGAAATAAACTGATTTGGACAAAGGGTTTTAATTAAATGTTTCTGGAAAGCTAATGAGCAACTTTTTAAATGGACCATTCCTCAACTATGCATTTAAATTCTGTAATGAGTGTTAACAGAGCATAAAATTACAGCAAAGTATATGCTAGTCTACTTGTGATGTACCTCTTTTAGGTTTGAAATTTCATGTAGTGAGAGGCAACACGCTAGCTAATTCACCTTCCTACTTCTGTTCTTGTTCGGAGATATGGAAGTCTCAATTCATTTATTAGTCTTGACATGATATATTTTTGCTTTGCTCACCCTTCTGTGTTTAGTTATTCTCTTATAGTCAGGACCGCTAGAAGTGCCTAGGAATTACATACATCTTCATGCACGCATGCTATTATGCAAAGGGCCAGTGAGATGTACAAGTACAGAAAATTTCACTGACTTGTTACATTGCTAGTTAAACTGCTTCTAACCTTTCTAATAAGTATCATTTTACCACAGGCACTTCACACATTAACAAAAAAACGTTTATTCCTATGGTCAGGCTGACTTGCTTCTCCATCAAGATTACCATTTTAGCTGGTTTGATTTAACAGAAGCAGTTTTTGCTATGGCTTCCCCACTCTTCTATTTTCAGTGCTTTCACTTTTCATTGGAATTTTAAAAAAGAAATGCTACTACTTCCTCAAGGAAGTATTTACATTACCCCTTCAGAATTTGTTAAAGTGAACCACTTCTTTTACTAACATCTTATTAAACTGCTTAAGCAGATCTGTTATGGATGAGGGCACTAAGCAGAGTAATCTTATTTCCACCAAAAAATTTCAAAGTTTGTAATGCCAGTACCTCCTTGAGGACACACAGGACAAATATTCTGTGATTCTTCCCCAAAGATTTGTTTCCCCCCATTTTGCTACTTTGACATTTAATTTTCAAATAGTGAGAGCACCATGTTTACTCCATGTTGGCTGTTACACACAGAGCACACCATATTCTGATAATAGCTCAAGTTACCTTCCTGTTTCTTAACAAAGATGCACGCACATTTATCTTCTGCCTTTCATCTAACATGTTGATTAAATAATTAGCATTTCTGTCAGGTCAAAGCATCCCTTTACTATCTGCCTTTACTACATTTTGGCCAGATCATTTGTAAATCATGACTCCATGTGCAAGGTTTAATTCTTGCCAGGATGAGAGAGCACGTCGCTGTTGCCACTCCCCCACCCGCGCCGGTCGGGCTGGAAGTCAAACACAGACCCCGGCCAAAATAACAAGAAATTTAATACAACAGAGTGATAGAACAATCTGAATAACAACAGTATCAATGGTAACAACAATAAACAGCAATAACAGTGAACAAGACAAAAGATATACAGAGAAATACTGCTAAATGATCAAGGAGCAAACCCGCCGCGTGTGTGGCAAAAACCAACACCAGAAGCGAAAGTGAAAAGGCTCTGCCCCTGGACCTGACGTCAGCATGGTATGGATAACCCGGCTGGAGATCCCTTCCCCCTCTCTCTCTGCTGGGGAAAACTTTACTCTGTTCTGGCTGAACCAGGACACTCCAGGATATCTAACTTATTTCTCAATCACTTACTTTCTAAGCAAGTTCTTGTCTATTCTACTGTACCTTATCTGTTCTTGTTTCCTTGGAAAACAGCCTTTTGTATTCAAAGTATAGTTAGAAATTCCAACCAAAAAAAAAAAAAAAGGAAAATAAATACTATATATCAGCTTCATCAAGGCAGTGCTATCAGACATATGCAGCTTTGGGTGCTCATTATAACCACACCTTATACTAGGTAAACAAGAAAAACTATACAGCATATCCTTCATTAGTCACACCTATAAAATTTTTTACTACACCTTAACACCTTAAAAGTCCCTATCAAAACAGAAGGTGAAAAGTTTTTGTGTGAGATGCTGCATTCAGTTATTACCATGAGGTAACTTCCAAAAATATTATTAAAATGTATTGAATATACTAAAATAGAGAGGCAATTGAATCCTATTACATTAAGTCACTTTCAAAGTCAAAAGCAACTAGCAGTTATCAAAGTAAACTGCATTTTTCTGTTCTTCACCTGGTCCCTATTTTAATCTTAAAATACAAAATTAAACACCTGATTTTCACCAGACTGCAACTGATGACTAATAGGAGTTGTGTTGAAATAATGTATACACATTTTCAAAATTACAAATCATAATTTTTAGAGAGAAAGCACTTAAAACTAGCTCCCCATACAAATAACTTGAATGCAAAAAAATCCACAAGGTGAGGAATGCAATGCTTAAGAGGACCTCTGACTATGAACTAAATCCTGCCTAACAGGACAGCTGTACTTGGGACTCATGCTACTAGAAGTATTTGTATCTGGCCTTAAAATGTATTACTGCAGGCTATAAAGCCATGCCTTCCTGTGGCAGGCAGCATTTGCCTCTCAACCTGTTTGTTAGTTCAAAAGAAGTTAAGTTCCTTACCCAGAACTCTGTTTCTTCATTTTATTTAGACAAGCTTCTCACTATTAGCACACAGCTCCCTAGTATCGGCTGAAATTCCTGAACTCCTAAAGAATGTTCTCTTGAGATCCATGAACTACTTCAGAAGAGTTCTCTCATATTCTACAACCTTCAACTGCTCAGAAGACGCTCCTATTAAACAGTGACAAAACTAAGAGAATTCCTCATTCTGAAAGAAAGAGTATTTATTGGTATACTCTGTTTCTGGACAGTAAGGTAGCTGTGGATTAGTACAAGTAGTATCAAAGGCTGAAAGAGTGGCACTGGAAGTGCAACGTAATCAGTATGCTGTTGTGTAGGCTTAGGATTTTCTTGCTTTGTTTCAGACATAGAGAAAATCAGAAGCTTTTTGTTCTGTGAATTGAAGAGTTTGATTACTCCTGTATAGGACATACATGTCAAAATTCTAACATGAAATCCTCTAGAGTCCAAACCCAGTTAACAGCTCTTTATAAGCACCATAAAGGGCTCAGTTCACAATTCCCTCAGAGACTCCCTACTATCAACAGTATTAAATTACCTTGCCAACCTCAAGACTAACCGCACTCATGACCATCTACATTACAAATGAATTAACTACTCTGCCTGGTACAGAAATACTCAAGTTACTAAATGAAACATCAGAGAAGGAAAAAAAAAACCTCACACCTCCTTAGAGCTTTCATACAGCACCAAATTTAGCAACAAAGACACTCCAATATCATATTCTTTAAAAAGGGCTAAAAAGATTAGAGAATATCTGTGAAGAAAGGATCTTGATCTCACTAGAGTGGACTTCAATACCCCTTTAATCAGAAATTCCCAGAGTGCACCACAGTTTTATTTTTTTCAGACTTTGCAGGAAAGCATTTTACCAGAAGATTGCTCATTTTGCCCATTAATGTAATTGGTGCTTCAATCCTTCCCAATCTAGTATCACACTTTCTGCAGATTTCTCATTACTGCCCTTGACACTCTTCCCAGCTTATCCACTTCCTTCTACAATGAGCTGGAACCCACGCAGTATCTCAGCTAACACCTGGGAAGGCCTGAACTGCGGGTCAACATTGCTTCACATGCCTTACTGAAATGTAAAAATAGAAGTACAACCTGCATGACATTCCTTTCATGTATCCAGCTTATTACATCCTCCAAATTCTTTCCCTCAAGAAAACCAACACTGTTCTCCATCCTGTATTTGTGTAGCTGATTGCTCCTTCTTAAGCGCAGGCACAAAACTCCACTCATTTCTACATTTTTCCCTCCTATCGGCGCATGAATCTTCAAGACATTTTATTTTCCACTACCACACTCAAAAGGGTCTGCAATTCCTCCTAGATTTATGCCTTAAGCTTTAATAATAACATTATTTCATTATGGAAACTATGAAAATCATGAAGAACAGATGACAAGGGACTGGCCTTCTTAATCACAACAGTAGCTGTTCATAGCTGTTCTTCCCCAGCAAAAACTGTTTCCCAGCAAAAACATCCTGAGAAAGAGAGAAGTCCTATTAAAGGCCAAAGATGGGACATCAACTGATCCTCTTGTATACAGCAGGCCAATCAGTGAAGTAAGTTAGATCACTTCAACGATTTTTCTTGACAAACTGATGCTGTCTTTTATTCAGCGTTTATATTCTAGATGCTTACAAACGGCTTTTGTTCCAGATTTTTTTTCAGGAATTCAAAAGGAAGTAGACTAGTCTGCCAATCTGTAGTTCCCCTTGTCCTCCAAAAATTGAAGACAGCCATCATGCTTCTGGTTTTTGTATCTTTGATATCTCAGCAATTTCTAGAATACTACAGCTTTTTCTTCCTTGTTGTAGTACTTCTAGAATACTACAGCCATTTTTGATTCTTGTGGTCTTGGAAGTATTCTCAGGTAAAGATCATCAAACAGATCGGGAAAAGTTACATTTCTAGAAATCTTGCATATTTAAGTTAAAACACTTGGAAAACCAAGCAGCTAGAGATTTTCTTGCCTTACTTTGTATTTTAAACACATAATTACAACTGAAAAACATTGTCACCAAGGAAGTTACCAAACTGTGAAAGAGATATCAGACAGTAATGAATAAAACTGAGTGAGAGACACAGCATACTGAAAGAAACATCTGTGCCACAGCATCTGCCACGTCAAGCTGAATTCACAATTCAGTGACAAGTATAAACTGAAACCTTCCAGCTCCAGCGAAGTATCAATGACCAGTTCAATGACGACCTTTTGCATTTCTGTCAGGGAATAATCTCCTAGTTCCTACTGAGTTTCTTCCAGCCCTGTTCACTTGACTAAAGAAAAACAGTATGCCACAACACCTGTGATAGGTTTCTGAAGCCTGCACTGATCTGCAAAACTATGCTGTTAAGAATCCTAAAGTAAGATTTCACTTTACAGACATTATTAAACCTTTTGCACTGATAGAACTGCCCCACAATAAAAGCACTTGACACTTCCATCTTTAAACAACAAAATGGGCTACTTCACATTTTAGAAATCTTACAGAGAGAATAAGAGGTCAAGCAACAATAAAAATAATCCTTTGTCATTTTTATATCCACGTTTGCTTAGTGTGTTGTTGGGGTTTCTTTTTTGTTTGGTTTCAAGTTTTGGTGGGGCAGTGGGCATTGGGTTTTTTTACTTCCTTATTACACCTTGACCCTTACAGCTCAGCAAAACAGGAAGTATTTATAGACAACAGACAGACAAAGAACTGCTTAATCTCAGCACCATGAGAAAACTATCTAGAGAAAGAAAATAGCTATGAAGTGCCTAAGACAACCAACCAGAGAAATTTTCTGATCGCACTATTTGGGAGAAATAACCTCTGAAATTAATCAAGAAAACATAATTTACACAGCTTTGTTCTTCTAAGAAATACTAGTCCATGTATTGATTGATATTTTATTAGTACCTGTAATTTCAACTATTTTGCAATTCAGATTTTAAATTTACTAAAGATTTCATTGCTTGTGTATCAATATTTAGGGAAACAAGTTTTTTACCTGCTAATGACAAGGAAAAAAAAATGCTGTGCTGACTCCATTCAAAATAGCAGTATTATATGATTTGGTGGGAGATTAGGGTCTCCACAGAAGCACTAAATAAGAGGCACATAGAGATTTTTGTGTTCAAAAGTATGCGGGGACCATTAGTACAAAACCACGGGAAGTTTATTTGCTTTACATGGTGCTGCATGGTTCTTTAATAAGTATCCCTTATTAGAGACTGATGCTTTCATAAGGTTTAGAGGAGTACTCTGGCAGTAGCACACTGAAGAAAACAAGGTGCTTGGCTGAACTAAAATCAGATACGAAAGCTGTAGAGTTGCAGTGAGGATCTAAAAAAAAGAATAGAAATTGCTACCTGGGCTGTCAGACTAATGCACTCGCTCAAAAAGATGTGTCAGTAAGGCAGACAATCACGTGATCATAATCCTAACATTGCGTTAAGGCAAACTTAACTATTTGGTAATTCAAAGCTTTTTAAAAAATAGTTGGATTTTATCTCTTTCAGTAAGTTCTTTCAATTTTCCACATATTAATAGAGGAAAGTGAAAAGATTGACAATGAAAAGAAGGGGCTGCAGAAGAGATTAAATATAATAATCTTTTAAAAAAATACCCCAAAACTATAACCCCACCTGTCTTTCATTTGATAATCCACTTAAATAACCTTTAAACTATTCCATTACTTTACCTAAAACTAGAATCGTTTAACACAAATTCTTTTTTAAGATTATATGAATGCTAATTTAAGTCACATCATTGTCTATATCTGATTTAACAGTGGTGTATGATTTTCCACTCAGACCATTACTGTCTTCAATTTTATAGGCATGTCTCTCCATCATAACGCAGTAAACAAAGGACGGCATTTACAAACAAGTCGCTGACTAAGAGCAGAGTTGTAGGTGTGTTCATAACTAGTTGTTCATCCCCACCAATTTCAAAACAAGTAGTTTGGAGAAAAAGCACGAAGAACTGCGTTACTGAAAGAAAGCCTGGCATAAATCTGAAACATGATGTAAAAAGATTGCAGAGTTTGAACTACCGTGGCTAGGTATAGGACCAGAATATGCTGGCAGTCCCTCAATTTCAGGCCTTCACAGTGAAGGCGTTTCCAAAGCGCAGAAAAACCTTTCACAGTAAAATGTCACTGTCAGCGCGATTCTGGTCTTCCAAACCAGATAGTGCCGTCGTACACTAAAGCCGTTAAAGCGGATGACTGTACATACATTGGCCTGTACAGCGCACAGAGTTAAAGTCTTCAGACTTTAAACAAACACCAACATGAATACCTTAAACATACGTGCCCGGGGACCCTGAACGAAGCAAAAAAACAGCGTCTAAGAACTGAAAAACGAACACACCGATTCCTCCCGTCCCTCCTGGACACTGCCCCCAGCCCAGCTTCCCCCCCCGCGCCGTCGTTCCCTAGTCGAAGGGAGCTCGGGACGCCTCCAGGGTCTCCCCGCTTCCGACCCGGGTCGCGCACACCGCTGGGAACGCCCCGAGCAAGGGGGGCGACCAGGACACGCAGGACTCCCCCCTTCCTCCGACGCCGCTGCATCCAGCCCGGCCACGTCCC